ATATTACTAATATAACCAAGAATGCTGCAAAACCTGCTTTAAAATTTTTAGTGCTGAGAGAAAGCTGAAGGCTCTAATTGGGTTATAACAACATTAACTTAAAAGAATCACGTCCTCAGGTATTAGGTCCCTCCCCTAAAACATGGAAGAATTGAACTTGCCTGAAATGCTGAATTGAACCATTAGCATGAGAGCCTATTGACGAATTTGAGAAGCAAGTAAAAAGCAAAGTTGTCTTATAATTTGGCAACATTTTGTTTGCATTTACTATTTCAGCAATATATGTGTTTGCTTTTACAGAAGATATTAAAAAAGGCTAATTTTAGGTACAACATGTTATGGATGTTTTCAGACACCTTCTGAGGTAGATGCTATAGTACAGAGTAGAGTCAGGTACCTTTCTGAATACTCCTCATAATAATCTATGATTAAAGTAGTCAAATGTGAGTCAGTCAACAAATTATTAGAGTACATCTAACAGCAGCACTGATTTTGTGTCAGCCGAATTTAATAAATGTTATTGACAAAAAGAGCATAGCATAGAAAGAGATGTTGTCCTGTTTAGCATGTTAATTTTGGAATGGCTTTTAATAACACTTGCTATCTTCAGAACGCAGCTTTTCTTAATGTTTTAAGGATACCACACTGAAAATAAAGGTAACAAAGGAAAAAGATATTTTCTTTCATAATTTTCAACATAAAAGAAATGATTTAGTAAGTTTTCTCTGTCTTCTTTACAGCTGTTCTGAAGAGCAGTACCAAAGAATTTATGCCATATGATAAAATTGCTTCTTTTCCCTCACATGCTTCAAGAAGATGTCCAAGAGTTACAATGCTTTGTACCATCTTTAAGTAGTAAGAAACAAGGGAGGTAGTAACAACAGAATTAATCTTTTTTTAAAAAAAAGTGTATTGAGGTCACTTACTTATCTCTAATTGTCTCTGTATCCGACCTTTGCTGCGTTCTCGAAAAAGAGTTTGGGTCTCGTTGTATTCCGTCATGACCTCCACAAACTTGTGGGCTAATACAGAGTGCTGTTTTTGAGGATTTAAAAACGTGGAACAAAAATGTTTATTTTTTTTTGATACAGCAAATACTACTGCACAACAACTGAAAGCGGTATTTACATTCCAACAAAACAGAACATGAAGTTCTGAAACTATTTCAGAAAAGTGAAACTCATTCTCTCATTTACTAGAATACTTTATTAAGTGATCATACCTGTGTTTTTCTTATCCTGAGGTCCACTGATGTCCGATTAGCATTTTCACCCTGACCAAAACTTTGTTCAATAGCTAAGAACAATACAAGAATATTTTGAGTCAATGCTTGGTCTATTATTTAATAGCGTAGCTGTCAGTTACTTTGTAAATACTATTAATTATTACTTTTTTCATATACAAGCTCCCTGCATACATGTTTAACATTTCAGGGGAGAAGAGGAGTGGCAGCAATATATATATACACACATATACACACACACAGAGTTAAAATAATGTTGATCATTGGCACAGATCTTGAAACACAGTAACTACTTCAATACTCTTAACAGAGTCACATTACTGTCTATTACTCTGGAAAAATTTTAAAAGGTGTAACAAAATGGGCTGCTTTTACAGTTTAAATAATAAATACCATACTCTAGTGTTTATAGAAGGAGAAAAGCATATAGTAATTGTAATATAGTAACACTAAACCACTCAATATGTTTCAAAACCTATGTTAAACAACTAAGACATATTCCCGGGGAAAATCACAGCAAAATTAGCTAGTCTGAATTACAAGCGACAGTAGTTTTATTTCTCTTCACAGCTTACCCTTTAACCTGGCTCGGATTTTATTAGCAATCTTCTTTATTTCCTCATTTAATTCTTCAAGTTCTTCCTTTGTTCCTTGAAGGAAAAAAAAAAAAAAAAAAAAAAAAAAAGAAAAACATTTTTTAGAACTGTTAATGATTGACAATAGCAAGCCAGCAACCTCTACCTTGCAATCTCATAACTGTATTCAGTACAACCATGCAGAGATGTTTATTATACTCTTAAGTACGTTAAATATGATTTTTAACAGCATACTATCACGTTCCTGCTCCTTATGACAGGCCTTTACACTTGGGAAATTATATTACCAAATTTACCAACTAAGCCAGGTGATAAAAGATTCCATATTTTTTCTTAATGTAACACTTTCAGGGTAATATTCATTTGCTGGTCAAAATGAAAGTTCACTGAAGTCTATCAAGTGAAAACACAGATTTATCTCACATTTTTTTAGATCTTCTGTTTATCATGGACTCATTGCTTTTACCCTTATTAACATGACTGTACCACATGCTACCTATATTTTTGGAGAATACAGAGTATTCATTAAGAATTTAGCTAGATCTCTGTTAACAGATTTACTGAAGACATCACATTCACAAGAGCATACATTACTTACAAGCAAAACCATGTTCCTACACAATTCAGACACATTCATTATTGAACACAATTTTTAGCACAAACACAAACTGACAAATGAACTGAGACCACAGATTTTAAGCATTCAGATGAACCCTTATTAAACCTGAGATTCATTGACTATACACGATTGTTAAGACAAAAATCATGTGTAAGAACGCAAACATATGCCCATTCATAAACAAAGAAAATAGGGAGGGGAAAGAAAAACTAACATCCAAACTTCAGTTTTCAGCAACAAGATGGTAGATGTTAAGCTAGTGTTGCAACATCCCACAAAAATATCTCAGCATCTCTTCTTCCCTTTTCTTTAAACGCGGCCTACCACCCCAGGCATGTCTTGAATTAAGCAGTGTTGAGAACAGAAAAGGTTCCATGTTTCTGGGTAAGTTCCCTAACCCTTCAAGTTCTCTGTTCAGAAAGCGCATCTTCACTTTCAGCTTTGGGGTTACAAAGCTCCAGCATGACACTCTTACTACCACGGAAGCAGCTGGCTGTAGTGTTAGTATCGGACAGGATCTTGCCCCTACTGAAGAATTAAGAGAAGATAATGGCTCTGCTGTATGAGCTTCAGTTGACAACTTCAACGTTTTCCCAAATTAAAAGAAATACAAGTAGCTTCTAAGTTCCTGAAGACATCATCAATTTCAAGACACCATATTAAACTCTACAAGTAGCTTCTAAGTTCCTGAAGACATCAATTTCAAGACACCATATTAAACTTAGTTTTGGTCTAGCAAAGGTTTGGATGATGTAACAAATATTCTGAAAATGTATTTATTCAAGTGAGCCTTAGAAAAGGTAAAAATAAGCAAATGAAAACATTAATTCCAAATTAAATATGGAAATACTTAAATAAATTGTGTGACATTTTGCATTCTGAACACCTGAAGTTCTACTCCTATAGAGACCTAAAACAAACAAAAATTATTTCAGAATATCTAGCCACACATATCTCAAATCTAAAAAGTGATACTCACTTCCTTCAGGATTTGGTGCTGACAGGATAATGCTGTGCTGCTTCTTCACTTCTTCCACATTTTGTGCTATTTTTGCTATATTATTTCTAAGTTCCTCAACCTAGAGGAAGAGAAATATGGCAATGAAAACATTAGAATAATTCAGGGCAAAGATTTAAAACAAATAAACAAAAAAAAAACCACAAAAAACTTTGGTAATAAAAATCGTAAAGTATTTCATTGCAACATTTGTAATTATCTGACAGAAATCTTAGCAGAAATATTGACATTTAAACAGCTTGCACTTTTTTAAAGAAATAATGGTATTCTTAATAGCAAATATATTCTATATGGCCAAAAACTTAAGTGCTACTATTCTTAATAGCACAGATTTTACAACTCTATAAGCAAATTCCTTGTCAACAGGGAGTTAAAAACACTCCTATGCAGTAAAGACAGAAAATACCCTGAACTAAACAAGCAAAAGTGTGACCAACATTCGATGTGGCATTCCACTACAGAGCATATCGGGGGCGGGGGGTGTAGATGAATTGTTAAACCTAATTACAGAAATTAAAAGGCATGGAGAGAAAACTGTAAGTCTTTAATGCATGGTGAAAACTATAACTTTACCTGTTGGAAAAAGTCATCCATAAAGTGGTCTTTTTCAACAATAACTGTCTCCCCATCTTCATTTCCTTTACACTGCAAAAGGCAACAAAACAAACCTATGAAATAAAACTCAGAACACTGTTCTGAAACAACAATGACTTCTGCATTGCTACTGCATACACCCTTTTGTCAATAGTCTACAGAGTCAAAAAAGTAAGTTTTCCTTTCTGAGGACTGTAATCTAAAAACAAATAAGCAGAGAGGTCAAAGAAAGTCACCTGACAACCATGAAGCTGTGAATGCTAAGGCATGTACTCCTCTAAACAACTTCAGGACAGAACCAGTCTGTAAGTGATGTCAGTTTTCACTACCTGTCATAAAAATTATTAAAATACAATGTGGCATATAAATGTTCTCTCACAGCATAAACATACTTCCACAGTGAGTCCCACACGAACTGAAAATAATAATTGGTTTACTGAGACAGTAAATCAAACCCTCTCAAAGAAATACTAAGAGGGATGCTGATGACTGACTTTTGATGCAATAAGCTACACATCTAATGAAAGCTGGAACAAAAAGCTATCAACATCTGCTTACTAGTTTTGCCCTTGGGTGTTTTCAAGGCTGCCATTCCACACCAATTCAGACATAATTATGCTACACTAAACCACACATGCATTACATCATCGATAAAGCCTAGAATAGCAGCCAAGGAGGCAGAAGCTCAAGCTGACAGGCTCTCACAGGTCTCGAGGGCACGCAGCCCAATGCGTTCCCCGTGTCACACTTCCCTAACCCTTGAGCCAACCCAGCAAAATATATGGATCTTGACAATAACTGAGATTCAAATGTTATCGAAGGAAGAGAGAGAATTAACATGCATCATACAGAGGCAAAGAGTTCCAGCTTCCATGTTCTCTAGTTCCCTCTGTAGAGCACTGACTGAACTGTATTGCATCAAAATTAGAAAACATTATTCTATTATAAAGTCAATGGGCTGTCGGTTAGAAAAAACATAGAAGATTGGTAACATTAAGGGATTTTCATGTTCAAAACTCCTTTTTTCTTACCAGCCCCTCTGCCTTTGACCTTCTAACACCCACCTTCTGCTCCTAAACCCTGAACCTGTTACCTAATTTAATAAAACCAGCAACAAAGGACTTCTTGAGTGAGATTTGTATTACTTGCATGACAATTCTGCAATTTAATCCAATGCCAAACACTGCTACTATCTAATAAAGACGGTTATACTAAATTATGAACTATGCATAAAAATCTAAGACTGCCCCAAATCTTCAAGAATAGTTATTACTTATATTTTGCGACAGTTCCTGTCCTGCAAATTCAGGGAATGCATAAAGCCCTATAACAATATGTTTGTCAGAAATCATCTGGGTTTTATGCTCAGGGGAACCACAATGCCTCAACTGAAATAAAGGAATTTAGATGTTATTGCTCTTCCAGACCACCTTCCAATCACTCATAGTTCTGTGTGTCATTAAAGACTTTTTGTAGTTACTCATTTTGGGAAGATGATTGCTAGAACTCAGTATGAAAGAATCTCTCCTTAGGGATTGTAATCAATTAACAGTCTTCCTTAACACAAATAAGCAAGGAAGGCCGTGCCCAAATGAAGTTACTCAACTTTTACCCATACCAGAGAGTGCACTGCTACAAAGCTACCAGTTATAAGTTAATATTTAAGAATGAGCTACACCTTAAAGACATGTAATTTCATTATCTATGTAAAACAACACCTTCTGCTTACATTTACCAAGTAAGAATAATCTAATTGTTTATAACTACATCCTGTGTTTAGTTAACTGAACTAAAAATAATGAAAATAGTATCAGATAAGAAATTCATTGTGTCAGCTTTTAGTTTGGTCAGAAGATCTTGGTAAAACATTAGACACCTGAGTGAATCTTAAACAAATGAAAGGTACAAAAATCTTACTCAGAAGTCCTGCCTGTGGGTGCTAGGCTGGGAGGAAGCAATCATGATTACCCTCCCTGCAGTCAGTTCCACGTTTATTTCGCTTTCACATTTGGTTACAACACCAAGTGGCAGATAAATTTGCTGTCTACAACTTATTGAAGGATTTATGGACAGCCTACCTTGAACATCAGCACTTCAAAGACACTTGATGACTTGTCAACCTCTATTCTCAGCATTCTTAAATCACTTCTTACCTAAATACAGCTTTTGACGAGCACACGATTCAACCAAGAACTCACTTTTGTCATCAAGTTTAGCAGAAACATATTGTTTCTCCCAGACCTTACCTCCTCAGTATAAGCAGTATCACAAAAAATCGATAAAAAGTTTCACATCAATGCCAAGAGCAATCTAATGAAGTCTGTTTGCATCTCATAGCTTGACCTTGAGACTGAAAGTCTGGGCCATACAACTCCGTAAACATTCATAGACTTATAAAATATATCAAGTTCCCTCAAAAGCTGGTTTACATGACAGAATCCAGATATTCAATGTCATTTCTCAGCTCCAAGTATGAGCTATCCTGATGCCTTATGAAACCTCTGACACTTCTCATGCCTTATAGAATTGGATAAATAAGTCTAGCTTGAGATGTCTTACCAAATTAATTACTGAATTTTGAAATTGAAAACAGCTTTTGACCTAAAAGCATTACTATTACTTGCCCTTGAAATTCCAATCAAGGTTAGTTTTTTTTCCTCAGTCCAGATCACCTGTATTCCTCTGGCAGGCTGCAAGGACAACAACTGACCACCACTGTCCCAACAAATGAGACCCAAGGAGTGGGTGACAGAGTTCTAGAGTTTCTCCTTATAGCACCAGTGTAAGCCAAGGAGGGCTTACAGAGGGCCATAGAGATCTGTCAGGCAGCTTTGGCAGGTCAATCATTAACACACATTTAGTAGCATTATTGTACAACCAGAAAAACATCACCTGGTAACTGTCTACAAGAAATTACGCTGTTATGACATGGAAACATAAAGCTCATCTTCAGAAAATTCCATGTTTGAACAAAGACTAATGTAAGAAATTAACCTGAGGGGAAAAAAAAAGAACTCAGTAACGTTTTCCTCTTCCTGAAAAGGATCCCTTTGCATTTTTTTCCATACCACCCAATAAACAGGTTTACATCTTACCTCTTTCTTAAATGATTTAACAATAACAAAAAGTTTGAATGAGTTTTATTAACAGACATCTGTTTTTTAATATCTGACGCTAGCTAAATGTGCTGAACTGAGTGTCTGAACACAGCTCCTACAGCTCATTTTAAGATGGACTTGTATCTCTGAACAGCAAACCATCGAAGGTTGGGAGAATCTTTTACACAATCATTGCTATGCATTTGCTCTGTTATTTTGGTTTTTTTTCTTCCCTAAGTATCTACTATCAAGCACTGCTGAAAATAGCATACTGGATCAGAAAGAACCTTTTATTCTTCTTTTAATTGTACACTCATTTATGCTCAAAATAACTAAAACTAGTCTGGGATTTGATCAGTTGTCCAACTAATTGTATTAAAGGACAGTCCAAACAGCTGAAAGAAGTTCATTTTGGCCTGCTTAGAATAATTTAGAAATAACATTAAAATAGTCCCCTAGAAGCAGACAAATACAATTATGGTTGCTATCTTCTGAAAATGCATGTACTCTGGAAGACTTTTTCTAGCTAGAAAATAAGAGGAAGCAACGTTATCTGAAGGCTATATAATCTGCACGTCTTCAACAATTCCTTTCTCCAGCAACCATTTTAGCATGGTTTAACTGCCTAAACACAGTGTATTAAAATTATCATAGCTTTTTGATACTTTCATTATGTTAATAGACCACAAACACTGATAAGTAACATTTCTCCCTCTTCTTTATAAAGGGAAATCTAGGAAAATGTTAATGTCACAACTTTTAATGACAAAATAGTTTGCTTGCTGTCAAAATCCAGGCACACACACGAGGACATGGAAACTTAAGTTTAGTTAAAATGGGTCAGGGTAGACTGGCTATAAAGTACTAGGATCTCTTAAAACTACTTGTAAGTTCTATCCACCCCATTTCCTGCAAAGACCCAACGTGGTACACATGTAAGGTACAAAGTAATACACAATTACATTGTTATATTAAAGAGGCAAGGCATAGTTATTCACGAAGATTCTGCAGGCCCAGGCCTGTTCAAAAAAGACAGCATATAAGCTCTACTCTCTTCACTTAATGATTTAGCCAAATAAAATACAATGGAACTACAGTAATCAAACTAAAACAGTCTGGAAAATATGCAAATAAATGTTAATACATTATTTCTTCAGATTATTTATTCCTTTTCAAAGCAATCTTATATATGTGTGATCAAGGATCACTGTTCAAAGCATTTATACTAGTAAAGGAAAGTCCCTTCACAAAATCATGATCTTTTTTGATATTTCAAGTAAAGATGTAAATGGAAGTTTCTATTTCCATGAGTGTCCTGCAGAAATCAAGTTTTACAAAAGTCACCTCCCTCAGGTACGCAACTTTTCAAAACGTCATGTCAACTATACACTTTTAAGTGATAAAATGTAGATGAGATTAAGATGAATGAGCCCCAAAGTTTTATGCAGCTCAACACAGGTCAACATTGACATATATGTGGAGCCCTAGAACTACCACAGGAACTCCTGTGTATTCTCCATTTCCATTGCTTTTCAGGAAAAAAAAAAAAAAGTCAAATATCCTTTTATTTTAACCGAGCCATATCCTGTTGAAGACAGACATGATGGTACCTCCCTCCAACTCGCTCTTCTTTTTTAGGATACTGTTTTCAAAGCACAAATAAGGGAAAGGAAAGGAGCGTATAAACACAACCAGCTACCATTTTGTAAACACGCAAAAAATAAAATCTGCCGATGATAGCTTTATTGACGCCTTGCTGGTTACATAGTTCCCAAGCAGATAAATCTACTCCACTCCACTACGGCCAGTTCGAAAACAGAATTATTATCTAGTTTATCTGCCATTCAAAACGCAAACGTTTGAAACGCGCCAGCGGTCAGGAGGAAGCGGGGGAAGGTGATCTATAAAAATCGCAGAAGCTTGAACTTTGCTGCCAGATACCCAGGCTCC